CACACACACACACACACACACACACACACACACACACCGCAACCACGACGGGTTCTCCGCAGCTCGCAACCACCCCAAAGGGAGGGAGAAAGAGAACAGCAGCAGAGGGAAGGGAAGCCAGGGGCAGAGAGAAGAGGGGGGAAGAGCTCAGGGTTGAACATTTTTGGAGCTAGGGGTGGGGAGGAGAAAGAGAGCGCGCCTCCTTGATTTTCCCCTCCCCACCCCTCTTTGCTTTTCTCTCCCCTTCGCTGTATAGCATTTTCCAGAAGCAGCAGCAGAATGGGACTGAAGCCTCTGGTCTAGAAAACGGATTTGGAGGGGTGGCAGGGGCTCCCACCAGCCGCTACCTTACAGCTAGTGCTTGAGTGTGCGTGTCAGAGTGTGAATGCGGTCCTCTCTCTCCCTCTCTTTCTCTCTCCCCCTTCGCCCGCTTCACACCACCGTGTCAGCTATCCCTGTCAGTTTCCCCGTGTCAGTTTCTTCTCTTGCTTATTGTGTTTGGCTGGCTGCGTGAAGGGACTGCGAGCATTTGGGGGGCTCACGCTGGTCCGAGAGCCCCAGGAGAAGCGAGCGAGAACACGGCAGGGGCACGGGTGGAGCAAAGAGTTTTGGGGCGCTGGTGAAGGCAAAAGGTGAGAAGGTCTGGCCAGTCGGGAACTTTGAGATAACTGAAGAGGGGAAAAGGAAACGAAGGTAGGAACCAGTACTTGTGCCTCTCTCCGCATCCCGCCCCTTTTTTCCCTGTTCTCACCCGCCCACCCACTCGGCAGCCTCCAGGCCCCCGGCTGTCCCAGGCGGCTGCTGTTTTTGCGCCGCGGAAGACCAGTCCAGGAAGGCTACCGCGGCACCTCGCGCCCTAGTACACCGATCCCAGACTACACAGATCCGAGGAAACCACTTGGCCCGGGGTAAGTTGACAGGCGGCTTGGAGTCGTCCGCTTTGCTACCCTTGGGGCGGTGAGGAGCGGGTTTAATGAAGGTGCTGGGTTGATGTAAACTGGGAGGCGCTGGCTGGCTGACTGGCTGTGAGCTCCAGGTGGTGGGGAGCAGGGAGAGGCCAGCAACAGATTGTTTTGGGACACGGGCAAAAGAAATACAACCAGGGAGAGGGCTTTAAGGGTTCTAGGACAAAATGTTGATGGCAATGATTAAAAGCATCCTTCTCACTGCTACTGTTCTCCTAAACCAGAGCTTTGCCATACCACTGCATGGATAGTGATTTGTTCCATCCTTGGGTAGATATTAAGCTCCCCCCGAACCTGCTCCCAGGTTTCCTCAAAATGGGCAAGGGATGGGTTAGGAAAAAGGATACTTGTTTTTCAACAATATCAATCTTCAGCTGTAAAGAGCCAGGGTTCATGAGGGCTCAGGGACCAGAGCCCCTCATTTAGCTTCTTTCTGTTTTTGCATCTTTCAAACTTAAGAAAGGGCCAGATTCGTTTGCCTGGCTTCCTTAAAGAAACCAGGAAATGCAAATGGGCAGGGGCAATCACTATAGTCCAAAGTGGACAGCTCCCAAACCTCCCCCACATGCTTTGACTTGGAAAAATAGCTATGATCATGTCCCACATAGGCAAGTCCTGAGCTGAATTCCCAGATCCTGATCTTTCTTCATGGTTTCTGAAAATGAGCCTGGGAGAAGGTGTTTTTTTTTCTTTTCCTTACCAACCTGGCCTATTTGGGCCATAGTTATGTACGTGGTGATAGCCAAGTGTTTAGCAAGGTTATCACTCCCTTATGAAAACCTGGCGCTGGGAAACCAGCCCAGAAGACAGATTCTCTGAACTTTACCCGAGTTTATTATATGAGTGGGAGAGACACATACTAATCAATAATGCTCCCCTTAGAGACTGTGCATGTTAGCCATGGCTTCAAATGAAGAATAATTGCTACATTCATAATGGCATCCAGACCCATTGGCCTATTGTCATATATTTATTTTCATGGCATTTAGTAAGAATGACATGTTTATATATCAGCATTCATAATTTTCTATTGTTGATCTCTTAGATTTTCTGATGATCTACAGATGAACGATGTCGTGTCTCATTTCTCATAAACTCTTAAAAAGCTGAGATTTAAATGATATCAAATAGTGCCTTTCACTCAGTCTTTAAAATATGTTTATTCTGAATTGAAAGGCATAGTAATACAATCATATAGTACCAAGTTGATTTTAAAGCAAATGTTTAGTCTGAGATAAAGGAAACGCAGGATCCATTTGTGAGGTTGAAAGAAGAACCAAATGCCACTTGAAATCTATATTTTGGTTCCAGGGAGGTGCTATTTTCATAAACTTTTAGACCATGTAACTATATATACAGTTGATCTGTGTGTGTGTGTGTAAGTGTATGTGTGTGTGTGTGTGTGTGTGTGTGTGTGTGTGTGTGTAGTTTTTAAAGGACTCCAATCAATCCTATACAATTTGGGTTCTGTGTTTCTATAGCTGAGGGGGGGGGGTCAAATTTGTGCTTCCAAAGCATCTTGGATTTTCTGTTGAACTTTCCATTTATTACTATGTTATTGAAATACAATGAATTACCTCCTTCCAACTAAGCAAATGAGAGAAACAGATTGTGCATTAGGTGAGACTGTTTACGTTTCATTGGGCAATTTGTTCTAATGCTCACTGCCGAGACACAGAGCAGAATGGGGATTACTAACGTAGGATCTGAAAAGGTGTCCATTCTCTTACTCTTTGGGGGTCAATCATGAGCATATATCTACTTAGGTTAAAATTACACTTTCCCATAGATAGCAAAGACAAGATTGCAGACAGCTAGGAAAGAAGCAACAGCTTCATGATTGGGGAAGAACTCAAAGTATCAACAGGAATGAAGCTTAAGGTGTAGTGGGTTTTTGCTGTGTTCCAGCTGATGTTGTGTGGTTGCTAAAATGGGCTGTGACCTATGGTTATTCCTAAGACAAAGAGGTGGGCAGATGCAGGAATTTGGAATCAATGTAGCCCCCAGATTCACTAATACAGACTCACCTGATTTCAGTGCATGCTTCAACATAGTTGCCTGGATCAGATGATATCTATCATCCCTTCCAACCATAAGAGCTATGATCCTATGATTCTAGTCATTGTAAAGCTAACAACTAAAACAAGAAGGACATGCAGAACCACAGTGTTTAGAGAAGGCCAGACCAGGAAATTGGAGATGCAGAAGAGAGAAAGAGAAGAGAAATAGGAGAACCAAAGATGTTTTGAAACACATGGAAGGAAAACTATCCAGATGTTTGCTTTGACTGGGAATGGAATCGGTTCAGAAAATCAACTGAAATATGAAGTACCTTAAAATTGCCTGTGATTTGACTTGTAAACACTGAGTAAACAGTAATAGAATTCCTTAGAACCAGGGAATTGGGAACCTTGGAGTGCATTTTCAGTGTTGTCATCTCATTTCACTTTTTAGCTTATTAAATTCCAATCTATAAACCATTCAGGTGCTTAATTATCAAATGAATATTTCAAATGTGCCATGCTATTTCCCTCCAACCTGCTGCCAAATATTCTAATTTGTCTTTTGCCATGATTCCATAACCGAAGGAGAGGAACCAAAGAAGCATTTCTGTCTGCTCTCCCTCCACCAAATGTTCGTGTTTTCACATGAGGTACACTAAGCCATTCAGACAGATGCAGTCTGCTAGCTAGTGGGGGAAAAGGGAGGACAAGGCCTCTCTCCTCAAGATGCCCCAGGCCCTAAGATGCCACCAACTAATCTGGCCCAGTCATTTTCTAGGTTTCCAGGGAAGAATATGATAAAGTTTTCAGCCTGCAGACAGAATTCACGCTCCACTCTAGGCTGTAGTTGCAGCTAATTAACTGCAGATCCAGGCTAAACTGATGCTAGCCATCATTTCCAGAGCTTAGTAACTGATATATCCATATTGTCAAGCTTTCTAAAACTCATGAAGCTTTCCTCCTGTGGATGGGCCCCTCAGACTCTGTCCAGTGAGACCACAAGACCCATCCTGCCAACAAGGAATGATTCCTGAATGATTCAACCATTGTCTCATAAACAAACATGTACATCATCCTCAACTGAGTGAGAACAGATGATTTTTTAAATTAAAAGCTGGTGAGGTTAAGCAATAATTGCAGTCACTGGGTCAAGAAAATTCTGCAAGTTCCCTACATTTAGTTTTCCTTTACCCATTGAAGAGATGGCTCTTGGATGCCAGTGCAATTACCACAGCTTTTTGCCTTAGGAGAGGCAAAGAAAAAATGATGGTGAGAAAAAAGCAGGGATCTTGGCAGGGTCCAATCCCCTTTCACCTGTAGAGAACCTAAGACTCAGAGAGTAGAAATAGATGGCCTAAATCTAGCTTGACAAAGGCAAAACCAGAATCCAAGACTGTCTGTTGCTATAGAATAAATTTTCTACAGCTCTCTGGAGATCTTGCCAATAAATTTAGAAGAATCAAAAACAAAGTTTACCAAGATCACAACCTTCTAATTCCATTTAATGTTTATATTGCATGTTTATATTACATGTTATTCCCCTACTTTGTTATTCACCTTCTCACCCACTACCTTTCTTCAATACACACACACACACACACACACACACACGCACACACACACACACACCACACACCTATCCTGCTAGCCAAGAAAGCATGACATATGCTGACATATGCCTACAACTAGCATGTTCAGGTGGAGGTCAGAATTAAACATGACAAAATTTTAGCTGCTCACATTTATGTAGCTAATCTGGTTTATACTGCCAATAACAAGACTCCTAGAAATCCCAGTCTCCAATGCTCCTTTGTAGTTTTGGGGAATGGAAGCTGGTGGAATACAATGACTTTGGTTCTTGTTTTCTGTACTCATTCTGAGAATCAGCACCTTTAAATGCATGTGTGTGTGCACATGCCTGTGTGTATGTGTGTTTGTGTGCATGTGTGCACAAACATACACATTTCCTGAAAGATTAAAACAGAGGAAATAGAAAAGAAAGACAGATGAGTTTTATGTCAGAAATGAGAAGATGAAAAGTTTCCAGAATGGTCATTGTCATCTGCCTCTATCCTTTACTCTTGCTTAGTTTCCACTAATCCTACCACAATTTCTTTTAGGGCCTGGGGAAATAGGCCAATGCAAATATGTCTACTATAGTCCAAGGAGTTCTGGTGGCACAATAGATTAATGTGCAATGCTTATGGAACAAATGTATCTTCCAGGATGATATGAAGAACTTCCACACTGTAGGAAGGACATCACTGAATTAGAAGAGACTCTTCTAAGAGCTATCTGTAAATGCAGAATCTCAGGCCCTTCTCCAGACCTACTGAATCAGAATCTGCTTTTAATAAAGATCTCCAATGATTCATATTCATAGCAAAATCTGAAAAGCAATGGATTAGAGATTATTCAAAAAGAAGATTTGAAATTCATTTGAAAATAAACAATGACCTACAAGGGATGTAGGGACAATTCATGTGGTTTATCATATAAAAAAATAAAAATACAAACTTTTCCTATGTCTGCTTCTCTTATTAGCCAGTTTAAAGGCCTAAAGTGTAGGTAAGAGAGACGAATTCAAGAGGAATCAGAACAAAGGATTGTTCTGTTTGCCAGAAGGACTAGGGTTTGGGAACTCACACAGACCTGAGTTCAAACTCTGGCTGGGCTGGCAAATTACTAGCTATTTAAATGTGCACAAAGTACTTTGGTACTTTGCATTTGAGCCTCAGATTCCCTGTGAGTAAAATAAGATTAATAATAGTATTCATTAGCATTGAGTTGCTATGAAACATATATGAGACACTATAAGGCACTAGCATATAATGAGCAATCAATAAATAGAAAATATTATTATAATTCATGGTTTGGTCAATAATTTTAGTTTTCTAGAAAACTAGCCACTGGATGAGATATTTAAGGACACCTAGCATC